CATTTCTTATTTTTTCACTTCCAGAATTCAATTTAACACTCATCGAACTTTATTGTCGCCGTCCTTTCAGAAAATTACGTTGATCACAACCTGGGCGAGATCGGATTATAATTGGTAAAAAAAATACAAGAAAAATTGGCTATGTAAATCATTGTACCGACTACGAAATTAATATTTCGAGGTTCAAAAATATATGGTGAAGTTTTGGTTAACTGCTTGATAAATTTATGAGCTCAAAACTGTGAAAGTATATGTATTTGTTTTCTGATTGATATTTTAAAATAATAAATCGTATTACTTATAAACTTAATATATTGCCTCTCAAGCTGAATGTAGGACGTTATTTTTAACTTATTAGTAATCAACACTTACAAGTTATAATTATAGGAAACTAAAATTATTCGTGCTATAACTACAACTCTATTCTTATAATATTGGAAATTTCTATTAACATATAATAATATGTTTTATGTAATAAACTCAGCTAAAACAACAGTCGGAAGTATACAAACGTTAGTAAACATAACTATAATCAAACTAAACTATTTTGAAAGCGCAGTTAATCGTGATAAATTGAAATAATGCTTAGAACGGGGAGTAGACGTGCTCGGATGTATCTCACGCGATCTCGTCCGTCCTAACGATTATATCACAAGGGTCACTGTGTCGGACATTTTGGCATTCCTTTTACGTACGTTTTTATTCCCTAAAAAGTGCTAGATATGACTTCCGTGCAGAATACAAACACTAACTTTCCATGCTACCTAAAAAGGCTATTATGTTAAATTTTATGTCTAGAAAAAGAAACTTTTTACGTTTTGAAATCTCTTTATTTCTATTGCACATATCACTGACGAGAGATTGTTTTTTTACAAAAGAATTATTTTAAATTTTTCTATTTCGTAGTTACGTCTGAACTAAATCTTGAAATGAATAAATATTTAATTAACAACATTTATAAGTATAATTAAGCAAAATAATATGTGATCTGATTAGTGACAGAGATAAATACATAACGATTTATATCATTGAGGTATTTTAATTAAATTGCACTTTGCCGAAAATTCAAAGAAGCCGCTACTATCACGGTACTAATCAGGAAACCTAGATCAATAAAATGGTAATAAATCTCCAAAAACCAGAAGATTCAATTATATTGCTACCGTCGGACAAGATGAGTGGCACTAACTAATTGTCCAAGATAAATATACGTTTTTTTAATGCGGTGGAAACTTTGAACTTTTTTTTGGTGAGATAATAAAATAAATTTGTTTTATCAATGCTTAATTCCAGTGAGCTCTAGAAATTATCGAGCGGATATTACATTACCTAAATTTCACTTACGAAAGAATAATAATAGTTTTTGGCTTTTAATATATTGACAGGAATAAATGTGTTGACTGATAATTTATATTCATTATACATTTATAATATTTGTATAATAAATTATTTGTACTACATATTTTCACAGTGATTATATAATTATTTACTTTTTTAATGACATAAGCTGAGCCAATAGTGAATTATCCAGCATTCGCAAACATTAGGAGCAGTTAAAATTTGTATAAATATAAACAAATATTTATTTTTATACCAATAATAATAATATTTATTTTAAATAATTCTAAAAAGATTAACTCAATAAATAGCAATAAGCTATGGTATTCACAACAGAAGTAAAAAGCGATGAATACACACTGTGAAACTAAAAGAATGATAAGTGCATGCGATTTAATTTCGATTTCTTTGATGTATATCAGAAGTAAATTATTCATAAAACACACGTACAGAAGATGCTCTAAATAAAACTACCATCACGTGGGCAGTGAATTATTAGGGCTGCCAGCTATCAATCTCTAAATCTTAACATGTTATCTATTGGTGGCATCCACGCTGGCATGCCGACACGATGTACTCTCGCCTTTTGGGATCTCGAAGACTATTTCGCGCTCACTACATTTACAAAGTCTAAAATTCAACACCTTATAACAAAGGAATAAGGTTCACATTTTAATGCAAAACCCGTATCAAAATCTTGAAACATACGGTCAACCCTATTTAACAAGATAGTCCCGACATGACACCTCGCCAAATCGATGAAGCGTGCGGATGTTGGCTTAGCGTTTGAAAGTAATGTTGCAATTCAGACAGACTTTTCAATTTCATTTAAAAGCCATATTTATCCTTACAATCATAACATATTACTTATGATAATAATGCAACAAATAAAACATCGAAGAAGTTCTTTAAACATACATTTACAAAATTAGTTGTAATGGGATAAAAACATTATGCACAAAAATGATATCGATATTTGAATTAAGTTCCTAATTAATTAAAATATCGATGTCTCATTTCTATTAAAAGATCGATATTACATGTAAATTAAAACTATACATTCAATCCGTTGAAACGGCTCTGTAAAAAATAATATTGTAAAACAAATAAAACATCGTGATGGTTTAAATGAATGAAATTAACAAAACAAACAGTCATAATTGATATCTGTCCACAGCGTGACTCGTAGAAATAATCTAAATTTAGCCAACAACAAGCCTAAGTGTATTCCCGTCAACACACATCGCTATTTGGTTGCAAGGTCTCTGAAAATTCTATTTAAATATTAGGCCAGCAATCTATGTTTTTCACTGCAACGTCGAAATAATTTACTGTCCAGTGATAAAGACACTTGTAAGAGATAAAGACAATGTGTGGGTAGATTAGTATGATAACAGTACCGTTGTACTCAGACGCCTTCTAGCATTATCCATGCGTCTTATCCTAGTGTTAGCTGGTGAAATATGTTGGTGTTTATTGTGAGCGTTTCAGGAATTTTGTCACTCGGTAAGACATTGTTGTTTATTCTATTTGTAAATCCATTGTGAAATATTTCGGCCTAGTAAATTTCTTATCGATTGTTGTTGTTTACAAAAATATTCTTGTGAATATTTACTATTACGCATGTTGTAACGTGTTTATATGATAAAAGTATTGAATATATTATAGTAAGGTAATAATTAATGTGTTTTAGTTTTACTACTTAGTCATTAGTAGATACGCAGTTATCACTGGCCCAGTAAGATATGTAGCTACTTAATTGTTTGATAACCAGTTTACATATTAAAGTAGGAATCTGTAATATTTGAAGTAACAGACCTTAATAATCCTTTTCTATCCCTAAATATAATTAAACAACTTGATTTTCAACTATTAATAATATTTTGATTAGATTTTAACTACTACCGAATATCCAAGCACATAACAGCGATGATGAGTGTACATTTGGGAACTCTTAAATAAATATTGAGCGAGTTTTAGACTTAGAAATTGTAAGATTTTTTCGCCTTACACACAAAAGCAACCACATAAATAACCCGCAAACATATTATGAGTAAACCTGTATATAGCAATCGTTAAAAACATCCCTCTATATATCACAATAAAGCTGTTTGAAAGAGTCATCTAAATCGTGAAAGGTAGTTTAATGTATACAAAAAGGATACATACAGACAATAATTTTCTGAAAACCCCATGAGGACTAGGGCCTAAACTTATTTCTGAATCTTAAAATAATGTTTTTCATGAAACGAATCATACATAACTATGTTAATGTTTTTATTTATAATACGGATCTTCGTTAAAAGATAATAGATGATCGCGTCTTAAATCTATGGTATACTGTTACTATAGCAAGATGCACGTGTTAGATAGTGGACAATTATGTCACGCGCCTATCATACACTTTCTCGGAGATCCCGCTAACGATCTCTTCACGCATCAATGACCAGACCACCTTTACCGTTTTAGGTTTCGCTGGATTTACAAAGCTTTCCGAAACAGCTTTCCAATTTGTCGGATCAATTAAAAAAAACATCACACTATTGACATTGACAGAAAAGTGTACAATAGGGATTGACGTAAATACTACTTAGATAGCTATAAATTAAGTTATAAATAGACTGTAATTTATTGATAACTTTATGAGCTGATAAAACTTTGATGATTCAAAAATAATTTTCAGCATGATATATTTTTTTTATCTGATAAAGAGACAATTCAAAACTAGACAATAAAACAAAATACACTTTTCTATACCTCTGAACATAATTACGATTTAGAGCTATTGAAGAAAGTTTGAAGCGGCAATAGTCTGCATACCAAGGTAATATGAGCAGATTTCTTCCAATAATTAGGTAACTATACATCGAATTGAGCACCTTTGAACGATGGTCTGATAGCCAGTAAAACGGTGCAGAACGATAGAAAATGACTTATGATTGCGGCCTTTAAAACAAACGTAAAGTGTGCCTTGCAATCATTACAACGCGATCTGTTACGGAAAGGGCTGCTGCACAATTCGACATGCACCGAATGTCATAAGTCAAGAGTAGATGTATAATACGACATGGGACTGACTGCTTTCAATTTTTAAGGGCTGTTTCATATCATATTAAGAAATTTGTTAAGGCGTATCAGAATTGCTTTATAATTTGGACTTAAATATTATTCTACATACATATTTGTATGGATAAAGAAGAATATTTATATCATTATACAGAATGTAAAAAGAAAGAAATGATTTGCATGACACGCACACGCATACTAGACTTTCATAATATTTGAGTTAAGTCAACTAATTTGACTAAAAAACTTTAGAATTCACCAAATCTATAGTGAGTTGAACACTCAGTAAGTTTTTACTAGATATATAATATCTATATTATGAAGCAAATACATATTTGAAACGCTACTCCCGTCAACCATACAGACTATACGAACACAAAAGCAATCAGTGGCTGGTAAAATAAGATTATTTAAGACATACTGACTTTCAATACCTACTATTCAAACGATAATAGTGCCGAACTAATAACTATTTATACATAAAAAAAAATTGTAATATCCATTTATAATATTGTCTTTCAATCTGCATTTATTCCGTAGCTTCGTCGGAAAGCTGTTTCTTACAAAGATGTCTGGGATGTCACCCTCAAGAAACCATGTGGCCTGGTTCCTCAGTGAAATGCACCCCAACGAATTGGGTTACAGCGGAATGGGTTCACAAGCTGGGTCATCCGCCGCCATCCACTGGTTCCAGATTCAACGTCGAAATGCGTTGCCTCAAAATGGTAGCGACTCCAGATGACAAATCATGTACGTTTATATTAAACACTAACCAGTTATAAAATCTAATTCTCATGATAACGTTTTTTTACTTTAAAGCAATTTAACGCTAATACTTTGTATGAAAATCTATTTTATTTATATTAAAATATCATAGAGTAAAATTGAAAAAGCTTAAAGGATTTTATTTATTTTTTTCAGTTGGCAACACTGTAGATACTTTGAAAGGTTGCGTACCAAAGGCTCAAGTGGATTCCGTATGCCTCGGCCTGGTGGCGATAGAGAGAGCTCGCGGCCATAGCGACGCCCGCTGTTTTATTTGCAACGGAAACGATTGCAATTCAGCTATCAACATTAGTATAGGGATATATACTTACCTTTTGTCTGTTATACTCTTTTTCGTGTTGAGGTGAATAAATATCTCTAATATTGGATAACGTCAGAAGATATGGAATTAAGAGTCTACCATCCTCTTGGTCTTGGTAATTAATCATTCGTTAAACATTTACTATATGAGAACCTACTCTATATACATACTAAAATAAAACAACGAACAAACAGGACATAACTTTAATATTTGAACTGTTGAAGTGCAAAATATTGTCCTAACTCCCTTGAATTTTACCTTGGAGTCAACAGCTTATTCTACGTTAATTCTTAATTACATTCATTATATAAAATCTGTAAAAAAAGTTTTATTTTAATCATAATAGTTAACACAGAGTATATCATATGAACACAGATTATATCAAAGTGTGTAGTATAATAAATGTAGATAATTAATAATTATGTTAATATTTAGTCTTTTTAAAAATTCTTTTTATAATATAAATATTTCAGATATGTGAATATAATAAAATTGTTAATAATACATTCCTGTATATGTTTGTCATTATTATTTGTCAATATTAAGTACATATATTTATAGTAATTTTCGTTGATAATAAATACTAAAATAAGTTCATAATAAAAATTTAAATATATAATTTAAAGCATGAAATATAATAAATCACAGTTAAATACATTTTAAATACTAATAAAAAAACAAATTAATACCGTTATTACATGTCAATGACTTACATATTTAATAAAAGCTGTATCAAATAAAAATATTAATAATCATACTAAAAAATAACTGATTAGAGAAATGCTAAATTATCACAACCTTGTTATTAAGAAACTCATCATTAATACTTTAGTACAATTAATATCAGATCGTAACTTCCATTAAGTCAGAATTATTTTTATTCACTTATTACATATGTATAAAGATTGTATATTTTTTTAATAGCTAATTTTGTATATAATCTATCACATCAACGCCAAGGCACTCTTTCAAAATGCCATATTTGTCGACTGTCGTTGAGACATCTTTTCGCTGTTAAAGCACCAAATGGTTGTTTATCTTCTGCTTTAAGCATAGTCAAGCATAATCCATCTTGAGTTACCAACCTTGGACCTTTCTGTTTCCATATTTGCTTCTGATTTTCATTACAGCTTTTCCATACAGCTCTCCCGTTTCCTTGCTGAAGGCATAGACCTTCGTCCGCCATTATGTTACCATCGAGGGTGTACACTAACAATCTGTCAAGATCAAGATCACTACCACAATGTACACCAGACGCTGGACCTCCCAAGCCTGGCGTTCCACTAACGACGCCTATACAACCTTCTTTGTCATTCCGTATTCTGCCAAACCACCTTTCATCACTGGGAAAGAAATTCTTGGGCCACACGTTCTCCAGATACCATTTAAAGCTTTTACAATTCAAATTTTTTCGCAGCTCGATACGATCCGCTACATTTTGAGTATCACGAATAGCAGCTACAGATGGGTTGAATTTGAAGAAGAAATCCGCCCATTCATCCATCCAAACTGTTGCTGCTCGCGCTAAATTTGTATTGAGAACTTTAGATACTCCCCCAGGATATTTGTATGGGCTATGTCGCCTAAATATATGACCAACTCTTGAGCAATGCGTTATCTCTACTCTGGCACCACATTGCCACGCTCGCCAGGAAAGTTCCAGATTTTCTCCGCCCCAGATCGACATTTCCTCGTCATAACCACCCAAACGCCAGAACAAACTTTTCCTTACAGCAAATAATCCGCCAGCCATGGCTGGTGTTGGAAACGGTTTGGATGGATACCTGGATTTATTCATCATTATCTCATTACTTGGCATCAGCCATCTGAAGTGAAGGCGCCAACTAAAAGCGCCCCAGTGCGCGTCAATACTCTTTGTGTAAGCCAAGGTATCATCGGATAACAGATCGATATGAGGACATATAAAAACGTCATCACTCCCAGCCCGATCTAACAGCGGTTCCAACCAACCTTTTGTTACCTGTAATAAAAAATAAATCTTTAAATGTTCTGTACCAACTTGGAATTAGTCTAATAATTAATAAATTACCTCACAATGTGCATCTAAAAAGACTAATACGTTCCCCGTAGCTGTTCTCGCGCCCATAAGTCTAGCACCAACTAAACCAGTCCTATTCAAACTTCTCAATATAACCACTTTATCTAAATTTGCAACAGCATCGTCCAACTCCTTGCCTAAATATTTTCTTTCACTAGCATCATCTACAAGGATTATCTGAAAAATAAATTCAGTTGCTATTAGACTATCATTTTTATTAAAATATTAACAAAATTTAGAAAAAATATTAGGATACTATTGACTTACTAATTTTATATAGACTAGATTTTGAAATTACGTTTACTTAGAAAAAATATTTGATTTAATTAAAGTACAATGAGATTAAAAAGAAAAATGACATGATACAAAACGATTTTGTTAAGTATTGAGTGAAAATACAACCCAAGGTAATAAAAAGCGTGTTAAAAATGATATTTATTTGAAATTTAAATGTCTTATAACTAAGAAAACATCATACCTCCTTCAATAACACATCTGGTGACCTCAATATAACAGACATTACAGTTCTCATGAGAGTGGACCAAGCTTCATTGTGGAAGACTATTATCACACTTGCTGTGGGGAGATTCTCTATATCATATTTCACATTTCTGCAACTGAATAAAAAATAACATAAAATAACAGTTGTTTATTTGCCTTTAATATTTTCTAGATCTTAGTATATATAACTGTAATATATAATAATACATTATTATAACAATACATTATTTGTAAACTTGTATGGTTCTCCTATAGGTCATTCTCAATTTTTTTTATAACTTTAATATTTTCTTAAGTCGAAATTTAATATTAAGTTATTATTTTTTTCGTTTTTATGTCAAATGATATTCTTTGGAGCGTTTGAAAATATTAAAATGCAAAGAATTGGTATAGACAGAAAATCATGTACCTAGCAACACTGATGCGAAAAAGCTGCTACTGGTAATTTGAGATTAAGTTTTCACCGTTAAATTTAAACTATAAAGAGATCTAAGACTTCTGCGAGTATTTTTTTAAATGGAACTAACATTTTCCGGATTACTACGCGTAGTAATTCTAAAAATATTAGTTTCATTTAAAGTGTCAATATTGATTATCAAGTCTATAAATTATTTATTACACATCACAGAGGGAGAGAAATAATCAGTGGTGGCTCAGTGGTTAAAGGGCCCGCCTCTCGGCCTCTCGTTGTCGAGGGCGCGGGTTCGATCCTGGCCCGGGCAAGTACCAATGTGATTTTTCCGAATCATATGTACTTTCTAAGAGTATTTAGACATCACTGATTAATGTTGATTCCCAAAAAGAGGGTTGATGTCAGGCAGGCGGCCGGTCGTAAAAACAAATAGCCAAAAACTATTGAGAACATGTAAGGCAGACCCTGGCTATAGCTGGGAAATTGCCAGGTAGAAGAAGAAGAAGAAGACAGAGGGAGAGAAAACATTGTTAAATTTTGCAAAAATTCTGATGTTCAAGTCGAACAACTCCGACGGAAAATGGTAACTCAAAACGAGAACAATTAATAAGAAATCAGTAATAGGAGAAAATAGAAACACATACATTTGAAAATTTCGACTAGAATGAGATCCCCAAACAGAATGCAGGAAACTAGTAAACGGTGTTATTCTTTGACCGCGAATGGAACTTTTTCGCTACTGCATATGGATAAAGCAGAAGTTGATGAGAAAATCATAGAAAGTCTGAAAAGATCGGTGAGTGTAGATTTAGTCCCCGAAAAGCCATCGTCGACGGTGAAGACTTTGGCTAAAAGATTTTAACGAAAAGATGGCTAAGTTTGGTGATTTATAGGACATTCTGGAATATTTTCCAGGAATGATATCACATATTTTCGCGAGAATTCGTGTAAATGCAACTATATTTTTCTGATATACTACGCGATGAAAGCGTCTGTGAATTCTCTTATTTATCGCCTACCGCAAACATATTTATCAAAAGATATCGTTGGAGCTACTTAAAAGGTGTTTGCGATGGTTAAATATTCTTCTAAAGTTGTTACACATAACTAGCCAAAAATATCAAAGTAGTTTCGGGCTGGTAAATCCGTCGATGTGGATTAAAATAGAGCCACCACTGTATGACAAATCTTTCACGGAAACCATGAATGAAATAACTGACGTGTATTTTAAGGATGTTATCGCGAAAATGAATGCAACAAACTAATAAATTGATGTTATTAAAACGTTCGTAGAATTTCCGGCTAATTTAGAGGTATTTATAAGAGTGTACCAAAAATTTATGTAATAGTTACTATTAACAAATACTGTTTGATTTATTTTTTTGTTATAGAAAGTAAATTAATGATTATGTTTATTTAAGTAGACCGATTACGCGCGCCGTAATTTGACGTTGAATCCGCGAAGCAGTTAATAATGAACAATACATTGTTCAATTCCGTTTTCTTTATAGGAAGACAAAATATTAAATGTAAAACAATTGAATCTTTAACAAATTATTAGGCCAATTCTTTTTCAAGTGCTCTGCTAATTTGGACCTACCTCCATTCTCTTAAGATATTATTTTACAATACTTTTAAACAAATATTTCAAGAACATGTTAAAATTTAAAAGGTATTTTTATTTGATTATTTGAAATCAAAACATGCATTTAAGTAGCAATAACGAAATGACCCAGTAATTAAAACATTATATATTAAAAATATTTGAGTACTATTAAATTAATCTTATATATACCTTTCACTCCTCATATCAGGAAGATGTCTATTTATAGATATCCTATCACTAACATATATGTTATAAGAATGTAGGCTGTAAAGCTCCCGAGCTGGTATGATCTCTTTGGGGAGAAGTTGGACTGGTCTGCCACCCTCGCCAGCCCCTTCAACCGGTGAATAATGATTTGTATTTATGACATCTGTAAAAAATATACACATACTTATAAAAAGCTATATAAATAGTATAAGAAGACTACTTTTGATAATACTGATTTAATTCTGTTCATATATTTTAGCAACAAGATTCAAATCTATTAACATTAAATTTGTAAATCTAGTTGATTTGTAAATCTAGATGCTTAATCTATATTAAAATTTTTACATAGACTGATTTAACTTATGTATAATATTAATATGAATTATAATAATAAAGTATTAAATTTTTGTTTTTTCTATTACAATTTTGTTGCCAAAACATTAAATTATTCATAATCAGCTATCTCAACTGGCAAATCTCTTTGTCATTTATACATTATTTGAACAGATGTTTTGGTAACAAACACAAAAGAAGTATTTGAATATTCAGATACAAGATAGTATTGTTATTATTTAAACATAACTATATTTGTTATTTGAACATACTAAAACTAACACAGTCAAAGACTATGTAATTTTAACTCTTAGTGTATAAAACCAGCCTTAACATATCCTTTAGTATTCCCTATATCCTACTAATATTATAATTGCGAAAGTTTGTGAGTGTGTGTGTATGTTTGTTACTTCTTTACGCTCAAACGGCTGAACCGATTTTGATAAAATTTTGTATACAGGAAGCTGACATCCAGGAATAACACATAGGCTACTTTACATCCCGGAAATCTCGGAAATCCGCGGGTAACACCGCAGGGCGCAGCGTATATTATACTATTAACTAATACAAATGGTACCTTCAGATAAATTACCCCCTCCATGACCCCCAACATAATGACCAACTATCACCCTCATACCACTTTTATCCATATAAGAATCTTGGTCATATGATAAACTGAAAAATAATTAAAACATTAGTATATATTAATAAAGCTACTGAGAAGATTCTAAATTAAAATAAACTCACTTATTATACCAGGCCATCTTGTTCTTCCTTTTGATTGTATTTATTAACTCTAAACTAACATAAAACATTGCATTTATCAAAAATAATAATATTATGACTAAACCAACAATTTTTTTCTTACGCCCTCTGCATTTGAAAGACTGAATTTTCTGTAAAACAAATCATTTGATTAACTAAATCTTCACTATTTAATTGTATTGCAAAGTTATGGAAATTTATGTTGAAAGATGCCATACACGTATCTTACCTTATTTGTGATGTACATCGTTAATACTCATTAAGTAATACTTTCATGAAGTGTAATTACTTTAGCTTTTATTTAAATAATATTTTTCGATTCCAACAAGAACATTTTGAAATTAAACTTTCTGTTTATCTATATTAAAAAATGGTGACTGTTCGATAACTTTAAGTCAAGTGATTAATAATAAATTGAATATTTAATATAAATTATTGCTGTTGTGTTTTGGGCATTTTCCCAAATAACTTAAAACTAACTACAAAGCACCTAACTTCATGCTTTTTTACTTGTTGTGTTTTGAGAACGTCAAATTGCAGAATTGTGTCAAGTAATATTCGCCGTGCTTATAAATTATAATAATTTAAAAAAATAATACTTTTTTTATCGTAACTTTGAAACTGTTATTTATATCAATTGATATATATTTTTAAAGTGTACTTAAGTATGTTATTTTGATAACAAAAATTAATAATTTACTTTAAAAATAGTTATTCATGTGAATAAAATATAATTACGTTAGTTACTTTTCTATTCTTTACTATATATAGAAATTATTTACTGTTTTTCTAATATCTTAAGTATAATGCAGTTTTGTTAAAAAAAAAATTAATTTCAAAATGCAAGATGCTGAGCTACTGCGGTTGTTATGTCAAGAAAGACAATTGAATTTTGTGACAAGTGACAGGTATCTTAGACAAAACTCAAAAGTGACAAGACTTGCGAATTTTAGTTCAACAGTACTACCGAGGACTGCTTTTATTGAAAAAATGATTTAAATGTTTATTTCTTATAAAAAGAGTGTCATAACATATATTATTAATATCATGTCTCGCGGTTTCCAAAACTTTAGCCGACCGAGAGGTCGAAGCAGAAATTGGGATCAATCCCAACGAAATAATCGAACAAGACCTCCAGGACTTCGCGGAGCCGAAATTGGTTTATATTACAAAGAACTCAACATGAAGAAAAAGAAAAAGGAGCACGTGGTAAAATAATGAACTAAAATATTTCTATAAATTAAAAATAATAAATAATCTATAATGTGCATAATGATACGAACTATTTGTTATAGATAAACCTCAAAATCCCTTACTCAGTTCTAAAAGCCTTAGAAAATGAATTAATAGCCATAAGGAAAATTGCTAGTACACAAAATATCACCTTACCAACAAAAATTACACAGAGATGTGAAAAAGCACAAGGTGAATGTAATTTAGCTAATAAACCTGGAATTTCAAGTGGTGATAATAATGTCTCTTACTCTGAACCAAAACAGCAGTCTACCAGAATGTATGATTACAAATATGGATATGAAGATATTATAACAGGCTCATTTGATGAAAAACTCGACCAATGCGTTACAAAAGGTATTTCTATAAATACAAGTGATGATGAAGTAGAAAGTTTAAATGAAGCTTTCTATATTGAGTATGAGGATATGTTGGAGAGGAATACTTATAAAAATATGTTGAAATTCCGCCAGAAATTACCAGCATATATAAAAGCCAAAGAACTTATTAAAGCAATTAATGATAACCAAGTAATTGTTATTAGCGGAGAGACAGGTTGTGGAAAATCAACTCAAGTGAGTTATAGCATAAAAAGCTGAAAATACATTTATAATAACACTTACATTCCATTTGTCTATGGACAACAAAGACTGTATATCACCAAATGAATTCTACTCATTCACCTTCTCGGAGGCCCTTAGATGAAATCTTGAATTTAAAAACTTCTTTAATATAAATAACAATATTTTGAACACATTACAGGTACCACAAATCATCTTAGATCATGCTATTCGTACCAAAAAAGGTGCCCTTACTAAGATTTTAGTTACCCAACCAAGAAGAATTGCCGCCTCATCACTGGCTATCAGAGTGGCTAAAGAAAGGGCAGAAAAGCTTGGAAACTCTGTGGGTTATGCTGTGAGATTAGAAAAGTTAGTAAATTTAATAAATATTTTAACTAAAAACTTAAAATTCATCTCTCAAACAACTATCCTATATGTACGTACTGATTGATACAAAAATTATTATCTATGTTTAGACTAGTTTTTTTTATTATAATTTGTATTACCTTTACATTTCTAAATAGATACTTTAAGCTTCCTTTAAACATAGAATATTTATAAAATTTATTAGATAAATAAAGTGAATATACTGATAAAATGAATTAAAATTATGATGTTATTATTATTAGGGTTGACGAGAGATCTCGAGGGAGTATTCAGTATTGTACAACTGGTATACTTTTGGCTGAGTTGGAAGTTAACCAGGGTTTAACAAACTATAGTCATGTTATATTGGATGAAGTACACGAAAGAGATGTTCATGTTGATTTATCCATGTGTATGTTGCAAAAGGTATAACATAAATTTTATTGTTATAATATTGTCATATTTTTTTAAGTATTAATTTTCACCATGATACTTAGATATAATAAATTTTAATATATAAAAAACAGGAGAAATATAATATTAAATACACATTTCAGGTTTTAAGAAAACGCAAAGATCTTAAACTAATTCTTATGAGTGCTACATTGGATGCTAAAAGTTTATCAGCTTATTTCGACAACTGCCCTCTAATGCACATTGAAGGATTGGCATACCCAGTGAAAGATGTATATCTAGAAGAAATATTGAATTTAACAAACTTCACACTGCCTACAGAAAGACCAAAAGCACTGCAGGCTAAGTGGATGAAGTATAGAAAAAAGAATGTTGCAGATGCCATGGAAAAAGATATCCAATACAGAGCTGAAATTGGTATGGATTTATATAAAAAAAATGTATATATTCTTTAGCAAATAAGGTTTTACCAAATATATATATTTTTTCAGGCAACTGGTTAGAATCACAGAAGAAAAATCTTAGTCTTCAAACATATAAAACTCTCCAAGACAGTAGAATTGAGGAACTAAGTTTTGAGTTGCTGGTCGATCTTTTGATCTACATCTGCAAGGGTGAACCTGGTGCTATACTAGTGTTTCTACCTGGCATCGGCGATATAACAAAATTGATGAGAATGATGGAATCCACAAATTTATTCCCAGCTAACAAATACGAAATTTATCCTCTACATTCAAGGTTGCCGACATTAGAACAACATAAAATATTTGAAAGGCCACCAGACAATATAAGAAAAATAATAATAGCAACTAATATAGCTGAGACATCCATAACCATAGATGATGTTGTATATGTAGTGGATTCAGCTAGAATAAAAATGAAAGGATTGAATGTTGAGATGAATCTATCAACATTACAGACAGAATGGGTGTCACAAGCTAATTTGCGGCAACGGTATAATACATTAAGAATCATATTAGCATGTATTTATTTAGTTATCGACTTCATACAAAGCAAACTAAAGAGAAAAATTTTCTATACTATATACATTTTGTTTACATATATTTATGGTATATAAATAAATAAATCTTGTTTAAGGCGTGGGCGCGCTGGCAGATGTCAGCCAGGTATATGCTACCATTTGTTAACATCATTCCGAGCTGAAAAACTAGAAGAACGTACACTGCCAGAGTTACAAAGGAGTGATCTCTTGGAACCGGTGCTCATGATTAAAAGGCTCCGGTTGGGTTTGGCTGAGAATGCATTGAAGATGGTGCCATCGCCACCAGCGGATTCAACTATACAATCAGCTGTGAAACATTTGCAAAGGTCAGTTTAAATAAATTATGTAAAAGGATGCAAACAAGCAAACAGCCTACCTAACGGAGGTAGTACTGTCGACTATGGACATCTGTAAAAGAATTTTGTGAATGCGTTGCCAGCCTTGTTTGGGGAATAGGGAGAGGAAAGGGTGGAAAAAGGGAAAGGGTAACCGGCTCTCTCACTCATCGAACGAAACGCAGCCATTTAAGACTACTTCAGGCCGATCTTTTGTGAGGTAAGCCCATGTTGATTGTTCGAGCTGTAGTAATTTGACCACAGCTAGGCTCAACCACCTACCAAAATCTTACCAATTTGATTAAATATACTGTACTAGCTTTCCGCCCGCAGCTTCACCCGCGTGGAGTTCGGTTATATCGGGTTTCCAAGAGAACCTTTCAAAAGTCTGGGATAAAAACTTACCTATGTTCTTTGTCAAGGTCAACTCTATCTCTGTACCAAATTTCATTAAAATGAGTTCAGTGGTTTAGGCGTGAAAGCGTAACAGACAGACAGAGTTACTTTCGCATTTATAATATTAGTAGGGATTATTAATAAATTTATTGGTTTTATAGGTGTGGGGCCCTCAATACAGTGGAAACCCTTACTCCATTGGGCTGGCACCTGGCTCGTCTTCCAGTACATCCAGCTGCTGGCAAACTGCTTGTTCTGGGAGCCCTGGCTGGGTGCCTTGATAGGGCTGCCAGCCTTGCAGCCGTCTGGGGCTTCAAAGAACCCTTCCAGATGGTTATCGGTAAATTTATCAGTCAATAAGATTAACAAATTGACACTTTGATTTAGTTATACAGAATAGGATTGCTTTTTTCCTAGAGCATATAGATTATAATGCTTAATGAAGATTTTATGTAATATGTTGTTAAAATGTTTTTCTAAATGAATTGACCGACAGTTAAATATATTTTTGAAACTTTAAATGGAATACCTAATATTTATTTATAATTACAGGTTTTGCGATCAATTTTAACGAAAAAAAATTATATACAGGTGTAAATTTTTTTTAAATTAATGAGTAATAGATTTCTGAAATGCCTAGTCTTTCATGCTATCTGTTATTTTGGCAGTATTATTAGTTACAAAATTTTAAATTATTAGGGATGATACTTCTGGATTTTATAAACATACGCTATTCTTATCACATAATACAACACTGAACGTGTATAAATAGATAAATATTCTAGGTTAAGATTTTTAAACTTCCATTCTACAATTAAATTGCATTTTCATCAAATATTTCACACTATCTTATAGTCGTCTCAAAATAAAATTACTTTCGGTTAAAAACATATTTTATGTTATTCAGGTAAAGAATACGAAGTTGATATGGCAAAGCGTGAATTCGCGATGGGTGAACCTAGTGATCACATCGCAGCTTCGGAAGCGATAATTCAATGGGAAAAATGTCGAAGAAGAGAGAGATCATCTTTTGCGTATAGAAACTTCCTATCGAACAATACTATAGAATTACTTGTTGGTATGAAAAATCAGTTCGGAGACAACTTGAGGCAGATGGGTTTCCTACGTTCCGGTGATGTCAAATCTAAATGGGAAAATAGAAATGCAGATAATCTGAGTCTATTCAAAGCTATAGTTGCTGCATCACTATATCCAAACATCGCTACAGTGAGGTGAGTTACCATATAAAGATATATACAAGTAGCTGCGCCCCGCGGTGTGGTCCGAGATTTCCGGGATGTAAAGTAGCCTATGTGTTATTCCTAGACGTCAGCTTCCTGTATACAGAATGTTATCAAAATCGGTTCAACCGTTCGAGCGTGAAGAAGTAACAAACATACACACACACACTCACAAACTTTCGCAATTATAATATTTGTAGGATATTCGATAAAGTTAAGCCCATTTAAAATTGTACTCTTTCAGATGGACCAATTTAAATAATTTCCGGAAGCCGCAAAGGATTTCAGCGTATACTCCAGAAGATGGGCGACTAGTTATACATCCGAGTAGCGTTATGGCGCCACCAAAAAAGGGCCAAAATAGGGGCAAAGGACCAAGTCCCTCACAACTATGTCATAATCCTGGCGCCAATTGGCTCGTGTACTGGCTTAAGCAGAGGTCATCCGACCTATTCCTACTAGACGTCACACTTATTTACACGTTACCTCTACTATTCTTTGGTGAATTCCAAATAAGTGATGGTAGGTTTGATAGAACATTTTTTATAAGTATTCATTTTGTATATTTTAGCAAATTTATATTTTAATGAATTGTATATATGATATAGAAGTATGAGGATGATTTTGTAAATACAAAAATGTTGTTACAGATGTAGAAAACCCGGAGAATTGTTATGTGATGATATCAAACATCAAAGTATGCTGTAAAAGAGAATGCACTGATAAACTCCTCGAACTAAGATATTTATTGGACAAGGTTTTGGAGACGAAGGTCAATGACTCAAACGCTACATCCAATAATAGTGAATTCGAAGAATCTGTTTTGAAGTGAGTTAATGTTTACAAAACAATAGTTGATTACTTTTCTTCAAACAGCTATACAATGCTACATTTCAATGTAATTTTATTTAATATGCTGACATGTTACTTCATTATTAATTAATATTAAAAAATATGATTTTAGTTAGTATACTTAATTTTTACTAGTTCCAATATATGTAATACATTCATTAATCTCTATTCAACTTTTGAGCATTTTATAAGTAACTAGTAATAATGATTCATAAAAACCAAAATTATTCTTAAGAAAAGCAAATTTGTGGGTAAATAAACTTTAATATTTTATAAGTCTTTATACTTATAGCCATTTCAAAGTTTTCATGAATGTAATTAACTCAATCCTTGACATTGCATACTTGTTTTTAATTTTGCTATACTGTTAAATGCATTCTTATTTTTTTTTGTTTCAGAACCGTTATTCAACTTATCACAGCAGAAGATGAGCAAGCTGAATATTTAGGAAATGAATTTTCTGATTCCGACGCTTCGACTACGGATGACAGAAATTATTAAAAGAATATCAATTCTGTTATATAATTAATAAATCTCTTAGAATCAAAATATTTTTATTAATTCTTATCCAATTTTATTTATAAAAAAACACTGATATCTTGGTTCATATTTTTATTATGAAATTATTAAGAAATCACTCATCTACGCTCATTGTGTCAATAAACTTTGATTATATAGTAATCTACTACGGCAGAGTAGATTTTATTCAGAGCAAAGTTGAGTTATAGTGCGTTTGATTTAAGCTGAGCTTTGCATTTGTGTGAGTGCACACGGGATAGTGTAGGTGAGAATTCAAATTTTTGAATGCCACATTCTTTTCTAGTTTTGAACAGGTTTTTACTGCTTTTACTCCGCCCCGCACCTTCCGCACTTCACCCTTTGTACTGATAGCAACGTCAAATGTTAAAAACGCAATGTCAAGTGAAGAAAATTTTGTATTGTTTTTTTCAACATTTTTATTACTTATTAATTTTTTTTCCATAATATTTCCATTTGACCTTTTACAAGTATCGCTTATTTCATTCTTAATCTAGAATAGATCTAGCACTTATATTATTCATCTTTTTAAAATATAATAAAATCTAATTCTAATTTTTTTTGTCTAACTCTACTTTTAGTTTCACTCACACAAATCCAAAGCTCAGCTTAAGTCTAACGGACTGTAGCAGCACGTACACGTAGTAATTACAATAGTATATTTATCTGCTTACAGTAGGTAATAAGTATAAGGTATGTTTTCCATTAAGTGACAGAAAGTTCCCAGGAAAATTTAGTCGTCCCTTATGTCGTCGTAAATTAACCAACTGTTAGTAAATCCACTGTTAATAAATTAACCAACTGTTAGTAAATCCACTGTTAATGAATTAATAAACTGTTAATAAATCCACTGTTAATAAATTAACCAATTGTTAGTAAATCCACTGTTAATAAATTAACCAACTGTTAGTAAATCCACTGTTAATAAATTAACCAACTGTTAGTAAATCCACTGTTAATGAATCAATCCACTGTTAGTAAATCCACTGTTAATGAATCAATCCACTGTTAGTAAATCCACTGTTCATAAATTAATCAACTGTTAGTAAATCCACTGTTAATAAATTAACCAACTGTTAGTAAATCCACTGTTAATAAATTAACCAACTGTTAGTAAATCCACTGTTAATAAATTAACCAACTGTTAGTAAATCCAGTGTTAATAAATTAACCAACTGTTAGTAAATCCACTGTTAATAAATTAATCCACTGTTAGTAAATCCACTGTTAATAAATTAATCCACTGTTAATAAATTAACCAACTGTTAGTAAATACACTGTTAATAAATTAACCAACTGTTAGTAAATCCACTGTTACTAAATTAATCCACTGTTAGTAAATCCACTGTTAATAAATTAACCAACTGTTAGTAAATCCACTGTTAATAAATTAACCAACTGTTAGTAAATCCACTGTTAATAAATTAACCAACTGTTAGTAAATCCACTGTTAATAAATTAACCAACTGTTAGTAAATCCACTGTTAATAAATTAATCCACTGTTAGTAAATCCACTGTTAATAAATTAATAAACTGTTAATAAATCCACTGTTAATAAATTAATCAATTGTTAGTAAATCCACTGTTAATAAATTAATCCACTGTTAGTAAATCCACTGTTAATAAATTAATCCACTGTTAATAAATTAATCCACTGGTAATAAATTAACCAACTGTTAGTAAATACACTGTTAATAAATTAACCAACTGTTAGTAAATCCACTGTTAGTAAATCCACTGTTAATAAAGTAACCAACTGTTAGTAAATCCACTGTTAATAAATTAACCAACTGTTAGTAAATCCACTGTTAATAAATTAACCAACTGTTAGTAAATCCACTGTTAATAAATTAATCCACTGTTAGTAAATCCACTGTTAATAAATTAACCAACTGTTAGTAAATCCACTGTTAATAAATTAACCAACTGTTAGTAAATCCACTGTTAATGAATTAATAAACTGTTAATAAATCCACTGTTAATAAATTAACCAATTGTTAGTAAATCCACTGTTAATAAATTAACCAACTGTTAGTAAATCCACTGTTAATAAATTAACCAACTGTTAGTAAATCCAGTGTTAATAAATTAACCAACTGTTAGTAAATCCACTGTTAATAAATTAATCCACTGTTAGTAAACCCACTGTTAATAAATTAACCAACTGTTAGTAAATCCACTGTTAATAAATTAATCCACTGTTAGTAAATCCACTGTTAATAAATTAACCAACTGTTAGTAAATCCACTGTTAATAAATTAACCAACTGTTAGTAAATCCACTGTTAATAAATTAATCCACTGTAAGTAAATCCACTGTTAATAAATTAATCCACTGTTAGTAAATCCACTGTTAATAAATTAATCCACTGTTAATAAATTAATCCACTGTTAATAAATTAACCAACTGTTAGTAAATACACTGTTAATAAATTAACCAACTGTTAGTAAATCCACTGTTAATAAATTAATCCACTGTTAGTAAACCCACTGTTAATAAATTAACCAACTGTTAGTAAATCCACTGTTAATAAATTAATCCACTGTTAGTAAATCCACTGTTAATAAATTAATCAACTGTTAGTAAATCCACTGTTAATAAATTAACCAACTGTTAGTAAATCCACTGTTAATAAATTAATCCACTGTTAGTAAATCCACTGTTAATAAATTAATCCACTGTTAATAAATTAACCAACTGTTAGTAAATACACTGTTAATAAATTAACCAACTGTTAGTAAATCAACTGTTACTAAATTAATCCACTGTTAGTAAATCCACTGTTAATAAATTAACCAACTGTTAGTAAATCCACTGTTAATAAATTAACCAACTGTTAGTAAATCCACTGTTAATAAATTAACCAACTGTTAGTAAATCCACTGTTAATAAATTAATCCACTGTTAGTAAATCCACTGTTAATAAATTAATAAACTGTTAATAAATCCACTGTTAATAAATTAACCAATTGTTAGTAAATCCACTGTTAATAAATTAACCAACTGTTAGTAAATCCACTGTTAATAAATTAACCAACTGTTAGTAAATCCACTGTTAATGAATTAATAAACTCTTAATAAATTAACCAACTGTTAGTAAATCCACTGTTAATAAATTAACCAACTGTTAGTAAATCCACTGTTAATAAATTAATCCGCTGTTAGTAAATCCTCTGTTAATAAATTAACCAACTGTTAGTAAATCCTCTGTTAATAAACTAACCAACTGTTAGTAAATCCACTAAATTTTCCTGGGAACTTTCTGCCACTTAATGGAAAACCTTATACTTATTACCTACTGTAAACAGATATTTTTTATTTTTTTTAACATATCTACTTACTCTCTTTTAACCAAATGCTATACCCAAATCTATACCGTTCCTTTAATATTCAAATAAATTTACTATAATTGTGTAAATGTTTGTTTCACGGCTAGTATGCTGAGCCGTTTGTTACAAAATGGGATATGGATAGTCTGAGATCTGAAAAAGAACATAAGCTACTTTTTATCAAAACTACACGCGGGCGAAGCTGCGGGCGGAAGCTAGTGTTAAATACTTCTGTCTATACAAGATTTATCACAAGTCTTATCAAATTTGAAAATCTATAAATTAAAAAACATATTTCATTCCACTAATAAGCTATTTCATACTTCTCAAAAAAAATGGTTGAAGGAACACTAAAAATATATATTTAAATTCTTTCCTATCATCCGATGTAAACAACAACAACAACATTGAAACGAAATGTCTTGAATCAGCTGTCAACGTCCTTATTACAGTGTGTCATAATTGACTACTGATAAGTGATAACTAAGAAAATATTAAATAGGAGTACTTTAATCAAGTATGTAAGAACGGTCAAATATTACCTCGACATTACTGATAAAAGATATTAGAGGAACATTTTGGATCTCATTAAATATTCGTAATGTTTTGCTTTATCCAAGTAAGTATTTGATTTTATTAAAAAAAGAGGAGAATAGTGGCCATTTACTAAAGTAACTAAATATAAATATGATACAGAAAAAACTCATCAGGCCTTCATCAATTTTAACTCGTCAAATGCACAACCAATATATTTTAATGCAAGAAAACAATGGTACGAGAGAAATTACGCTGAATCACGAAAAAACGAAGTAAGTGATGAAAGGTCAAATTTGATAATATTTTTTTTTAGCTTTGCCAATTATTATTATATACAATGAGACAACTAACATATAACCAAAGAAAAGTAGTTTTAAAGAAAACACACATGATATTATGTTAACTTATGATTTTCTTCTTCTATTGTTTGTTTGAATTTCACACCCATATTTTATTTTTCCTTTTGATTTGGATAGAAATTCACTCTCACTAGATATGATGAACAACATTATAGAAGCAATAAATCTGAATAAAGAAGATACTTCATTACGAGCTATTGTTTTATCTGCGAAGGGTAATGTTTTTTCTGCTGGTCATAATTTAAAGGAATTAGTAAGTTTTTCCATATTTCTCAAACTATTTAAATAATGAAAATTATAACAGACTATTTTCTTATTTTCCAGCAAAGTTCATCGGATACAGAGAAACACAAATTAATATTTCAAAAAGCAACTGAATTGATGACTTCTATCATTCAAAGTCCAGTTCCAGTTCTAGCAAAGGTGTAATAGTGTGTTAAGGATGTATTTTTTATTAAGAAAATTTAGTTTTTATTATATTTTTACATCAACAAAATTATTTCATTATATCTTTATGTATAATAGGTTTATTTCAATTTCTAGGTAAATGGATTTGCAGCAGCGGCTGGGTGCCAACTAGTGGCTACATGCGATATTATAATTTGTTCCGACAAAAGCAAATTTTCAACACCAGGGTAATAGGATTGGACATAGTACTATTGTACATTTATAATTCTTAAATTAATACCTATATTGCAAGTTTGAATTGTGCTTATGTTAATGAAATTTCTCACTCTATATTTGCTATTTGATTTTTACAGTGCGAACTTTGGTATATTCTGTTCAACACCAGGAATTGCTATTGGCAGAAGTGTCCCTAAATCGAGGGCTATGTATATGTTGTTAACTGGTAAGTATTTAAAAACAATCACATGCAGTAAATGTTTTCTTATAACTTTCCAATATAAAAGGAAAAAAGTTATTGTAACTTTTTTGTGAACTATGAAATATTTTTTACCCTTTTAATAACCCTACAGGTGAGCCGTTAAGTGCCCAAGAAGCATATGAAAGTGGTCTTGTCACAAAAGTTGTGCCAGCTGAAAATCTAGATTCTGAAGTTAATCAAATTATTGAACAGATTAAACATAAAAGTAGAAGTGTAATATCACTTGGAAAAGAGTTTTTCTACAAACAAATCGGTCTCAATGTTATAGATGCATACAAACTGGGTGAAGAAATCATGGTCAAGAATATTAACTCTCTTGACGGTCAAGAGGGAATAAAAAGTTTTGTAGAAAAACGTAAAGCTCTATGGAATCACAAATAGACTATTTTTGTTACATCGCTGTATTTTCATACAAAGAATTATCTATTTTAAAAAAAGTTTTTTATGTGTTCAAGAAATATATGTTACTATAAACTAGTAAAAATCTAATGTTTATTAAGATCATTTCTAATAACAAGAAATTTAACTTATAAACTATAAAAAAAAACATCACTAATTATTTACACCTATATTTATTTGCCATTATAATAATATTATATTCAAAGCAAAATGTAGGACATAAAGCATACAATAACATTTTTGGCCATACAATATTACAGTTATTTTGAAACGACAATAAATTACTCATGGATACAACATCAATAAATATGAATATTCAATGTATTATTCCTGTTCTCGGTATAAAAGTCGTTTACATTTTTTTAATCTATAAATAATTATATTTAAATTATATCAAACTTACTGTATGTGCAATTGAAAGACTAAATTATAATATTGAAGGTGCTAGATCAAATAAAAAACATCAAGTAGGAAGCAAACAGATATCAATACTTAATAACTTTGGAGTACAAATATTGTTAGTTAATTTTAAAAGTTATTCAAATATTACCTATCAAGAATCTTTGTGCTTTATGCCTTGTAGGTTCAATTTTTTCACACTTAATCCAATATGACAATAAGATTTAGCATATTAAGGAAATTAAAAGGTGTTTTCGTTTAAAGGATATCACTTTTCAATTAACCCAAATATCTTGAGAATCAAGTAAATGCCAGTTATTATTTGCAGCAAATGTAAAAATATTTTTTATTTAAGGCAATTTTAACAATAAATTCATAAATGGAATGCAAAATTATATTGTGTTTCCTAAATATACATTATATATTTGTTTTTGGATATGGCTCAGATTTAAAACATGAAATTAAAGTACAAAAAGAAAAAAACTTATGATTCCTTGAGCTAGAATAACATCACTATAATTAATTTCTGAACTGAAATCATTGAAAATAGTGTTCCTCATTTACATTGTCTTAATGGACAATCAAAGTTTCGTGTTCTTTCACAATAATAAATATTTATTGATTTGAAACATCAATCAAAAGTATGATAATATGTTACTTAGTAAAATTATTAAATAAATTTAAATAACATTTCCAATTTAGAGGTATTAGAGGAAACTCCTGTTGACTGTGAAAATTTATTTTTATAGGACTGATGGTAATCCCGATTTTGACAACTAGCTCACTTGTTCGCCAATTCATTTGAAAGCCAGTCCAGACCTTCGTAGAGTCCCTGCCCCTGTGTAGCGCATGTAGCTTGAATATACCACTGAAAACAATAACATTTTAACTGTATCCCTTATTTTATAGTGTACAAGGAACTAGTAATACATTTTAATGTATACATACACGACGGTTTCTCAAGTTATTCAAGTTGAGAGCATTCGTAAGTTCCGCTGCATTCATTGCATTAGGCATGTCTTGCTTGTTTGCAAACACTAATATCACAGCATCTCTAAGTTCATCTTCTTTAAGCTAAAGCAAAAAAAAAAATGGTTATACAAAGACAAAATATTACACAAGATATTACAATCATTTAGTCACCATATTAGCAAGTTCATTCTCGGCTTCTGCTATCCTTTTCGTATCACTTGAATCAACAACAAATATCAGTCCTTGTGTATTTTGGTAGTAGTGGCGCCATAATGGCCTGATCTTGTCTTGGCCGCCGACATCCCAAACAGTAAAGCTGATGTTTTTATATTCAACAGTCTCTACGTTAAAACCAATAGTCGGTATGGTGGTTACGATTTCACCAAGTTTTAGCTTATAAAGTATAGTTGTTTTGCCAGCGGCATCGAGACCAACTGCAAAAGAAAAAATATTTGCTAAATACGTTTATCATTGAAGCATAAATAACTAGAATGCGTGAAGATAATGCATGTAATAAAATATCGACGCAATTTCAATATAGCTTATAAAAACTTACCCATTAAGATACGCATTTGTTTTTTTCCAAATAATCGAGTAAAAACACTAGAAATTGTGAGACCCATGTTTTTGAGCTCACTGTTGGTTTACTTATATACAAAATCCCTATTATATACCCTTGTTAAAGAACCGATGATTCCTATACGTCAATGGTCAATCGTCAACGCGGACAACGTCACAGATGAAACTATAAAAGTGACACAAAATATATTATTTAGGAGTTTATTAATTACGAAAATTCCTTTTATATTGAAAAATAAGTATGTTATAAGTTTTGCAAATAATTAAATATTTATTAAAATATTACCATGGCAAACTAAAAAACCATAGACAATATTAAAACTTTTAGAACCAAAATGGATAAAGGCATAATAATCATCAATGCCCCGCAAACCTGCGTTCAAGCCTTTATAATAAGTTATTAAGTTTATATTGTAACTTACAGGTGCTGAATTGTGGTCTACTACATTATGTCTGGAATTTCAAATTGTAATTCATTTAGGAACATGGCATTACAAAGTTTGTGCTTTGTATGAGTTATTGAAATAATATTACCGGAAAAATTTTTGATAATATATCTAATACTTTTGATTTAATCAATTGAATGTGTTTCTAAATAGTCAAATTGAAACGATTAATGTATTTTTTTACCAAACATCATATTCACAACAGTGTTAATCAAAATATATATAATTAAATAACATTAATATTATATGAATAATATCATTATATCAAAACAACCTATAAAATATAGAAAAGATCATAAAGAACTATGCAAAAAACGTATCGGACTGACATTTTAAACTTAATTATAATAAAATTTGTGACTTTTTGTATGCCTTAATAATAATTATTCATCTATTAGGATAGGAAAAGAAAGGGGTAACGAAAAAAAAAGAAGCTGTCGAAAAATCTTTGTAACTGTGTTCCTAAAAGAGTGGCAAACATTAATGAAATCATATTAACGGATTTATAAAGTTATAAGTAGTAAAAACTCTGAAACATCTTCATTTTATAAATAATGAAAATTACATATATTTTTTTTATAAAATTCATAGTCGTTTGTTTGTGGGGCCCCTTTGGCATGGACGTTTAGTAGCTAATAAGGATTATTGTTGGTTGCTGTCATGCGTCGTCATAGAAACGTTTTTGAAAACTTTTAGTTTTGTGACCCGAGGCGAAATGGAATACGAAGGTAAGTAAGAATTAATTATTTTTAAATAGTACACGATTAAAGCTTTCCTATGTTTATTTATTAAATTAATTATTTTCCATTTTTAGAGATAACTCATGAACAGGTTCAAATTGAAGGCTCTAGAATAGTATATATTATTAAATATAGTATAAATAAGACGTATTTGCACTAATAGTGTATAGATATTATATTGATTTCTTAAATAATATTTTAAAAGCAGTGTAAGCAAAAGCCTTAATTATATTAAAACATACATGAATTATTTGTTTTGAATGTCAATGTCAAAAATATGTAAAAAACATGGATATTTTTTATTTAATTAAAACATGTGTCATTATTGTAACTAGAATATGCAAGACTTCGTTTCATGAAGGTTGAATATATATGTGGGACTTCCATACTTTTTTCTAATTTTTTTTTTACATTTACTAATTCTGCACTCGTTTTCAATATACATATAATATATTAAATATATATATTTTAATTGATGACATTTTTATCCAGTTATATCATTTCAACTAAAGAGTTTCAAATCTGTTGCTAGTAATTATCAAAAACTCAAGTCAATGATCTCAATGAATTTGACCTTCAAGATATTCGTCTGAACATTGATATTTCGATCAAAAGTGGTCACACCGTGTTTATTTTGCACAATTTCTATATATTTTTATTAATAATTATTAACATTCTAAGATTAAATTTTTTAGATTTAATTAGTTTTTGAACGTATCGGGTACATTTATTTAAGTGTATTAGACACGAGTTTAGCGTAAATAAATTAGTGTCCCATTTATATTCCTTTTTTAATATATGTCATCATAAAAAAATCTTTATGATGAAATAATAATAATAATGTATTTTACGTTAGTTTATTGGCCAATTTTACATGCAAATATGCAATCCCCATTTTCTTATCTTATTTATGTGCTTTAAAAATTAAGAAATCTACCAGTAAAGCATACACTGAGATAAAATTACTGTTTGATTAACGAAACTACATATGAGAAATATATTTTTCTCGTTATAATATTTTAAACAGTTGAATTGTTTCGTATTTATTAAATCATGATACATATTACGTAATTGCTTATCAATAACCAAACATGTTTTTGTATAAGAGATTATTAGAAGACTTTTTTTGTTATATTACCAAGTTTAAGAGCAATTTGAGTCGTCGACTCACGATTAGATCCATCCATCAATTTTCGGTGAAAGCGATTAGTTGTTCTTTGTAAGTAATTTTATACTGAAAGCTAATATCCCAAATTTACGTACGAAAACGCGGAGTCATTAAAATAATTTGAAGTCATCTTCACTAGAGAACTTGGGGATCGAATAATTCTCATATTTATATCACGTTAAATACCAATCGAGTATTAAAGTAGTACATCATACTTACATAATAAATACGTATCATTGTTTGGATATTTTAAGATTTTTCTTAGAAAGAAGTTGCGGATTTATTTCATATAAAACAGTAAACATAATTTTTGTCAGAATGATATAAAGCAATATATTAGAAGCAGCAAGTACGTAATGTTATGTATATAGTAATTTTTTTTTAGTATTACCTATATAAAATTCAGTTAAACATATGACGAAGTAGAATACATATATTTCTTCTTAATAACAGTCGTAAACAAGTATTACACAGGTAATTCGTAATGCATAGACCGCAAATAAATAAAATGATAACAGGTGATTAAAATTCGCGAATCGTCTCTTGCCCTAACACAGTTACACAGACCATTGGATAGTTCAATGACCTCACATCTCATGACTAAATCAACAGACTGGAAATGCATACACCAAGAAATATATCAACTAATACGTGTCACTAATTTCTTTATATTTATATATTTTTTATTCAAATGTCACTCTTCTTTGTACTCAAAATTCATAAACCGGTCGTAATAAATATTGATTGAGTCACAAACAGAAATTATTGCAAATTATAATTGTTAAAGGAATTTTGGGAATTAATTTAGCAATTCTTTTGTTCTTAATCATATAAAAATGAAACATTTTTTTAAACGCATTATTATAATAGGCCAACAACGACTTTGTCTAATCTAGAATTTAAAATAAATTATAATAAAGAATTAAATGTTTGAATAAATATAATAGTATATAGGTTCACAGTATTGTTATATATTTACATAATATCAGGAGCTCTCTTGAATTATATTGTACTTACGTAATTAAATATAAAAAAGGTATATTTATTTATTTTAACGCAAAAAAAGGTATACTTTTTTTTTTTTTTTTTTTGTTATCCTTGGGAAAATGCATTTACGCATACCCGCCGTTTTTAGAAAACAGCGGGGTATGTGGGACTCGTTGCCACTACCCACTAAAAACCCAAGGGTGTTCCACGACGGCCCTTGTGTCGGGGCGGGGGATCGCTTTCGCACTCCCACCAGCTTCCCCGACAGGCTGGCCCGCATTCTGGGGGCCCTTCTTCTTTTGGGGGGCACTGGTACCGCCCCCCCCCTCATGTGGTGCTCTTTTCCACGCACGTGACCTCGGGAGTTGCATGGGGAACACAACCATGCAACTCTCTTTACCGTTTAGCGCGGGTTGGGGTCCGCGCCACGGGCCATTTTCATGGCGGCCTCAAATCGTCGCGGGCGTCTCTGCGGCGGCGCCCAGCACGGTGTCTGCGAGAGGGGAGGGAAGATGAGGCTTCCCTCACCCTACCGGCCTCCTCCTTCGCGGACATTACCGCCTCGCAGAAGGCGACCGCGGCGTCCCAGGCCGACTCACGCCGCACCATGCACCACACCATGTGGTGCAGTGATAAGGCCCCAGCCTCCATTGCCCCAACTAGGTCACGGCGCTGCTCCGCCCATGCTGGGCACACCTCCAAGGTGTGCTGCGCCGTGTCCTCGGGGCAATCCGCACAATGGTGGCATGCCGGAGATTCCTCCCGCCCTATTCGACACAGGTACTTCCCAAAGCAACCATGCCCTGAGAGTACCTGTGTTAGGCGGAAGGAGAGGCCACCATGCTGTCTCTGCAGCCACTCCGACATGACGGGCCTTACCGCCGCTATCGTGGCGTGTCCCGCATTTGGCGTCTCGAGCCGCTCGTACCACTCCGCCATGGACAGCAACACCAGCTCTTTTCTGTGCGCCTCGACCGCTCTAGGCATGACCACCGCGCCTCTCTCCAGCATTTCCCCGCGCCACCTGTACAGCTGTGCGAGAAGCTTAGCCTCCAGGTCCCATGGTGGGGATCCGGCGAGTAGGGTTGCAGCCTCGAAGGAGACCGTGCGGTACCCTCTTATGGCCCTAATGGCCATCATCCTCTGCGAAGTCCGCAGCAGGGCTACGTTTTTGGACCGCAGATCTTCCGCCCAAACAGGGGCTCCATAGAGGGCCATCGATCGTACGACCCCCATGTAAAGCCTCCTGCAGGAGCCGCTTGGTCCCCCCAAATTTGGCAGCAACCTTGACAGGGCAGCCGCCACCGAGCGCAAAATAGGGGCAAGTCGGCGAAAATGCTCGACAAAGTTCCATCGGGAGTCTAAAACAAGACCCAGATAGCGCATGGATCCTTTGACCCCGATGGTGACTCCTCCCACTACAATGGAAAAGCCGGTAGGCGGCCCCCGTCGCGGGAAAAAAAAAAAAAAAAAAAAAAAAAAAAAAAGGTATACTGATTTTATAATAAATATAAATCAATCTGTTATTACTCAAGTGAGTCCATACTTCATATGAAAATAATCTTATACAATATTTATTAAACATCTAATATAACAGCTTTATCTTTGATAAACGCTTCAGTATATCGGTCAATAGGATACTGGCATCATTGATCAAGCCATTCATTCAGACCTACATCTCTGTTACACAATACTAGGATGGG